TATTTGTAAAACTTTCAAAATTTTCTTAATTGATCAATTAATTTTCTTTTTTTTTTTCACGTCATGTTATCACAGAAGGAACTCTAAATTGTGGATCTTCGGGGGGGAAAGAAAAAAAAAGCAAAAAAAAAAAACAAAGAAAGAAGAGAAAAAAATACTAAAAAAAAAAAACATTATATAATTCGAAATTCGAAAGTTGAGAAGAATCCAAGATATTTAAAAAAAAAATATATATATATAAATAAAAAAAAATAAATTTGACAAACCAATATACACTATTATACGTTGTATAATCATATATACGTAGTATATATATATATATATAACATATATACATACACGTGTGTATACATACTTATATATTAATATACAACGACACGTTTGCCTCGTGCCCGATCTTGGATCCGCGTTTCTCGCCTTGTTCCAATTCGATCGTCAAGTGCAACACTGATCGTGAGTCAGAGGGACTTGTCCGATGGAAAAAAAAAAAAAAAAAAAAAGAAAAAGAAAGAAAAAAAAATACCTTACAGTCGCTATACCTTTAGACGCTATACCTGTAAAGGGTCCTATGTGTTTACATATGTACGTGTATACATGTATGCGTGAGAAACAAAAAGGGAAGGGAACGAGACAGACAGTGAGAAAGAGAAAGAGAAAAGGAGAAAGAGAGAGAGAGAGAAATAGAAAAATAAAAAGGAAAAAAAAAAGAAAAGGATAAGAAATCTTAAACGAGAAACGGTGGTTATCGTGTGTATGTGTTGTGTGTGTAGAGAGAGGGTACAAAGAAAACGTGCTTACAATTAGAGTAGGATGGAAGAGAACGCGCTGGCTTAGCAGAGTGCAATGACCCAAACACCACAGTGACTCGGAGGCGTGACGTAGCGATCAGCTGGTGCACCGAAGACCGTGCGAGAAAGAGAGACAAACCAGACAAACAGAGAGAAAGAGTAGAGAGAAAGAGAAAGAGAGAGGGGAGAGTTAAAAGAGCGTGAGCAAGCGCCTTCTAACGTTAAATTAGAAATCAAAACGTGACTTGAGTAACGTAGAAAGAGAGAGAGAAAGAGAGAGAGACCATTTTTCCATTTTTATTATTATTTCTTTTTTTTTCTATATACATACACCAGATCAATACTTACGTATGTGTATGTATTATATGTATCTATATATGTGTGTACATAGTATATGTACATTTGGTGTATACGGTATATGTGTATATATATATATGTGCTCAATCGAGTATATATTCCCTGATCGAAGAGTATTGAGTGAGTAAGAGAGAGAAGAAGCGATATATATCGCAGAAACGTTCAGTTTCGCCTCGATCATCGATAAGACCCCCCCAACACGTCACGATCAGCTGACGATGACAGATTGGGAGTCACGTGACGAGCTCGCTCCGGTCATTTTTAAATCGCCAATGGAATAGGGCCGCGAATTTCTCTCCTACTCCTCTCTTCGTTTTCGATTAGTTTTTATGGTCTCACTTAGTTGTACGTGACGAAATTGGTGTCGCCTTATCGAGAAATATATACATATATAATATAATTTGATGATTTTTAAATTTGTTTTCTTTTCCGATAGAATTTTTTTTTTTTGAAGATTATATATATGTATAAATCCTTATGTGTGTGTATATGTGTAACAACATTGGATGGAAAAGAGACTAGTCGAAAGGCAGAGTTATTACCATTTAAGGAAATGACCATGGAGAAGCCATTTAATGGTTACTGCGATTTAAGAATCTACCTTTTACTTCGATCGAAGAATTAAATCGCTTTCTTACTGGATTTCACAAATTTCACTACAGTGTATGTATATATTTTTCTCGAATTACAAGACATCGATGAAACATTTTGTATATATATATAGACGTATGTAGTATCTCAAACTCATCGAACCGTTTCGATTCGCACAAAACCAAATCGAATTTCACTGTTTTTCTCTTCGTTTATTTATTCATTTTTTTTTTTATTTCTTTTTATATTTTTCATATTTATTTATTTTTTCTTTCTTCCTCTATAGAAATTTAATTTCGAAACGTTTTATAATTTTCCATAGGTTGAAATTCAATTCTTTTTTTTCTTTTTTCTTTTTGTTTATATTTAAAATGAATTTTGAAGGAAAAAAATTAATCGAGATTTTCTTTTTCGTAATCGATCGATTAATTTAATTCGAATTGTCTTTTTTTTTTTGTTAACTTTTCCACCATTTTTAATAGTCGGTACTAATCGATTTAAAAAGAAAAAAAAGGAAGAACGTAAATAAAAATAAAAATAAAAATAAAAATAAAATGAAATGAACTAAAAAAACGAAATAAAAAAAAAAAAAATAGTTACCAGAAACATACGCGAGGTGTCGTAACATTCATCTATATCCGCAACGACGCAGTCCAGGGGTTTGAGGATTTTAAAGGTTAGGTTAGATACGTTAACGTAATAATACTAACAAACGGATTCAACGACCTTTCTTTCTTTCTTACTAGCTTACTGCGTTCGAATCTAATATATGCGTCATGAATAACAAAGAGGATTGACACCGTTAGACATTCTAACGGTAATATATGAATATTCAAATAGATAATATATATCGACTCTAACGATCAAGCTCTCTTAGTGACGTAAGCAATTTCTTTTTATTTTATATATATATATATATATTTCATTTTATTTTATATATCTTATTTTATTTTATTTTTTTTCCTCCCAATGTTTCCCTTGAGAATGATAAAGAGGAGAATAAAATTTCAACGAATAATTACAACGAAATAAAATGATGGATGGACTTACCTTTCTCTTATTGATATATATTTCTTCGGAGATCAGAAAAATACTGATGTCGTTGTATCTTCTTTCGTCCAATCGAAGTTCGCCAAAGGAGAATTTCTTTTTCGAAGGGAGCTCTAACGAGGAGAAACACCGATTCATCATCGATTTATAACGTTTGAGTAATTCGTTGACAATCGACGAGCGTTATCACAAATGCATCGTTTCAAAGGGCACGCACGCATGCAGAGTAGGAACACACGCGATGCACGCACGCACACGAACAAAAGACTTTTGTGGTCACTTTCATGTGACCGTCATTTTTCATCCTTTGTGTCGTATCTTTCATGATCATAGATGGAAGGAAATTATAAGAGACAGAGAAAGAAATAAAGAAAGATAGGAAATTTGATCGAAAGATTTGCACGCAGTTGTTAAAAAGAGATATAAAAGAAGATCGATGATGAAATTATCATAAACGACATTGTCGTTTGAATCAACAACGAACGATGATTCTGGGCACACTCGCGTTTCTTCTAACATTTGTTTTTTCTTTTTTGTTTCTTTTTTGTTTTTCTCTCTTCTTCTTTTTTTTTTTTTTTTTCTTTTTTGCTTTTCTCCTCGGACTTAAAACACAATATATTTAACGGCCAAACATTTTTACCCAATTAATACTCACATTACTAATCGCGATACTATCGAGGATATCATATTAACGTATATTTGCGCTTTACTAAGCGCCCACGATCGGCACAAAGAAGAGTTTAATGCGGACGGTCGTGTCTAGCACCGCTGCTCACAGGTCAGCCATGTTGGACTGGTAGCTAGCCGTTGCTGCGCCCCTTACGTCACGTCGTGTTTTCGTCACGTGACCTCAGGAACGTAGATACTCGTGGCTCAACTTAGGGCGCAATACTATACGAATTTTCCGAACTTAGTTGAAATGTATTTCGTGTTATCTACGTTTTCAATTTTATTTTTATTGAAAGAGAAATTACGATTTATCGATTTATCCTTTTTCTTTTTCTCATCGAATAAAAATTAAAAATAAAAATTAGAATCTAATTTTGGATTAGAATTTATCGATTTTTTCTTTTTTCTTGGAAATACAAATCATATTACAAGTAAAATTTACGTCACATAACAAACATTGCGTTAGAAATACAAATAAAACTTACAAGAATAATATCTTTCACTTTGCGCATTTCATTTCATATCATTATTCTCCACAAATCGTAGATCACCAAATTTCTCTTCAAGCAAAATACATAATATATGTAGACGCAACGTGATTTTTTTATTTCGTATATCAAATAAATAAATCCTGCTGTTTCACGTGTATATGTCATTGAACAGGTAGGTTGAAAAATCATTGCGATCTAAAAGAAAAAAATTGCTAAAGAGAACGAAAAGAAAAGAAAAAAGAAGAAAGATAATTTTGTAATAATGACGACAATGAGGAATGAGAAGACTAAAAAGGAAGGCGAGAGAGAGAGAGAGAGAGAGGAGAGAAAAGGGAAAACGTTGGCGTTGAAACGGGAAAAATAGTCATAAGCAGGGCGACGTGTAATACGAGTTACGGGTATGCGCTAGACATTCTCCATCTCTCTCACTCTCACTCCGACTCTTTCTTTCTGTCGCAACCGCGCGCAAACGTCGTCGCGATACGGCCCTAGGCATAGCCCTCACCGATCTCCCCTCTTCAGCACCTTTATGGCCGTCAGGATAGACGAAGAGAAACGAACGAACTTCGGCATGGTCGTGGATACATACCAACGACTCGAACGCGACGCTCGGTGGCGGTGAAGGCAATGTGCGGTGGAGGGAGGTAGTAGCGACGGTGGTGTAGTAGAGGTAGTAGTTGCCTGATGGTGGTAGTAGTGGTAATGGTAGTGGTGGTGGCGATGGTAGTAGTGTGGTGGTGGTGGTGGTGGCGGTGGTGGTGGTGGTGGCGCTGCGTGCCGGGCAAACGGCTGTGCCGCGTGAGCGGAGGAGTGGGAGGAGTGGAGCCGGTGGCTTGACGAATCGGTGATGAGGTGAGGGAAGGTGGAGAGGGGTGGAGTTGGGTCGGATAGAAGGTGGCAGAGGACGAGGTGGAGTAGGGGAGGGGGCGAGGCGAGGCGCGGAAGGAGCAACGGGGGGTAGGGGGCGCGCGAGAGAGTGATAGAGTGGGGAGGGGGGTGACGCGGGCACGGCTCGCGGGAAGGAGCCGTGCCTCCCTGCCGTCCGCCCGCAGTG